ATTTGCTTTTGAAGGTCTATTGTCTGCTTTCTTGTCTATGGTGACATCAAATGAGATGATGTTTCCTGTATGCTTTGTAGCATTCGGGATGTTTCTCTCCATAAGGATGCTAAGTTGCAGGCTGATGCAGGACTTGAAGTTTCTTTAAACTAACTTTTAGAAGAATTATGCTGCTTCAGAAAAGTGTTATATACTGCAGGCCTGACTGGGGTTCCCTGAGTTTTTTTTTGTGCCTTTGTGTAAAGCTACAGATTCCCAAGATTGAAAAGAATCTTATTAGCTCAGAAGCATACATAAACTCCATCTTTAAGGCCTTCTGTTGCTTGTATTATGCAAAATATGATGGTGAATAAGGTCAGGGCAGCACATATCCCTGCTTTGTCATTGGAAATTCTGAGTGATTCAAGAGGTTGCTGTTGTTATCTTGTCTGTATTGATTTTTATTAATTGATTTTTATTAGGTGGAATCCAAGTTTGTCCAAGAATTTTCCAAAGTCAGTATTATTCTCACAATATCAAATGCATTGGTGAGGTAAAAGTGAAATGTAGGCCTTTATTTTGCATATAACATTTTACTTCTTTACCGGAGTGTGAATATCATATCTGCAGTGCCACCGTTCGCTCTGAAACTGCACTGGGTTGTCTGGGAGGTCATCTGCAATGTTAGGTACAAAACTGTACAGCCATATATTCTAGCCAGAATCATCCGAGCCATTGAAAGGAGGACGATTTTAATTTTATTCCTACGATTGGGCATCACTGGCCAGATCAGCACTTATTGCCCATCCCTAATTATCCAGAGGGCAGTTAAGAGTCCTTCTTTAAAGGACATTAGTGAACCTAATGAGTTTTTCTGACAATTGACAGTGTTATTTGACATGGTTATCATTAAATTTTCAATTCCAGATGTTTATTGAATTTAAATTCCATCTGCCATGGTTGGATTCAAACATGAATCTCTGGACTAGTAGTCTAATGATAATTCCACTAGGCCATTGCCTTCCCTATGAACCCCCTTAAATAGTGGTAATTACAATAATGAGGCCACAGCTGGCTGGAGCGGATTGGGAAAGGAATTTAGCGGCAAAGACCGTTATGAACAATGGCGGACATTTAAAAAGATGGTTCATGGTTCACAGCAAAGATATATCCAAATGAGAAAGAAGGATTCTAGGAAAGAGATAAACTGGCATGATCAACCAGGGAAGTTAAGGACAGCATTTAAGTGAAAGAAAAGACATAAAATGTGGTAAAATGAGTCATCAGCTGAAGGCTGGGTAAGTTCTAAAACCAGCAAAAGGTGAGAAGAAATGTAATGGAAGGAGAAGCTCAGCTTTGAGCGTAAACTCAAGAAATATCGAGACTAATAGCAAGATCTACTTTTAGTCATAAAAAGGAAGAGAAGCCAAAGTGAACATAGTCCCTTAAGAGAATGAGGCTGGGGAGCCAGGAAATGGGAGAGACTTTGTATAAGTGCTTAGAAACAAATAGCTTTTCAACATTACTGGATAATCAAGGGGCAAAAGAAGAAAAAGAAATAAATAGAATCCTTGTCACCAGAGGGGAAAAAAAGAGAAACTAATAGGGCTAAAGACTAATAAGTCCCCTCGACCTGATGGGGTTGATCCGAAGATCGTAAACCAAGTAGATACAAAGGGAGTGAATGCACTGGTAGTGATCTTCTAAGAATCCTTAGAATCTGGAAAACACCCAGATGATTGAAAAATTATCAATTTATGTAAAAGAAAGGATAGGTAACCAAAGGCCAGTTAGCTTAATATCAGTTATTGGGAAAATGTTAGTTTATTATAAAGGGTGTAATAGCAAAGCATTTATAAATGCATAATATGATCAAACAGAGTCAGCATGGCTTTGTGAAGGGGAAATTATGCCTAACAAGTTTACTCAAACTCTGAGAGGTGATAAGGAGGAAGTAGATGCAATATATTCGGATTTGCAAAAGACATTTAAGAAGGTACCCTACATTAGGCCGTCTAATATGAGAGAGGGAGAGGCAATAACAACTAGGTGCTGGAAGCCAGAGTCTGTAGCTGTGATGCTGTAAAAGCACAGCAGGTGAGACAGCATCAGAGGAACAGGAAAGTGAACGTTTCAGGCTGAAACCCTTTATCAAGAAGAAGGATTTCAGCGCGAAACATTGACTTTCCTGCTCCTCTGATGCTGTGTGACCTGCTGTGCTTTTCCAGGCTCTCGCCTATATGCTGTCTAGTTAATTAAGCAACCATGTTATTGGAGGTAGTATACTAACATGTATAGGGGATCAGCTAACTAATAGAAGACAGTTGGGATAAGGGGGGAGCATTTTCAGGATGGCAACCTGTAACTGGTGGTGTGCCACAGGGATCAGTGGTGGAGTCAGAATTATTTACGATAAATATTAATGACTTGGATGAGGAAAGTGAATGTGTGAGCCACGTTTGTAGAAGACACTCAAATAGGTGGGAAGGCAAGTGATGAGGATGATACTGAGGGATATAGATGGCTTAGAGAGTTAAAACCTGGCAGTTGGAATATAATGTTGGAAAATGTTAGGCTTTGTACGTATTCAGCTCTTCAAATCATCCTGTCTATTACTTGAACAGAGAAGCTCTGCAGAATGCTACAAGACAGAAGGGAGTTGGAGTCATTCTCCAAGAATCACAAGCATCCAAGTTCACTGAGTAATAGAGAATGTAATGTTGGCTTTTCTTTCAAAGGGATCCGAGTATAAAAGTAATGACATTTTGCTAAAACTGTACACGTTACTAGTTAGGCAACAACTGGAATTCTATCATAAAACAAAGAACTGCAGGTGCTGGAGTGTCCTGACGAAGGGTCCCCGGACTTGAAACATTAACTCTGCTTTCTTGTCATTGGTGCTACTAGACCTGCTGAATTTCTTCTGCAGTTTCTGTTTTTGAACTGGAATACTGTGATATACTGGGATTGGAGGCAAACCAGAGAAGGGTTGCTAGGCTGATCCTGGGTATGGAGGCACTGTCTTAAGAGGAGAGGTTTAGTTGGTTGGGTCTGTACTTATTTGGGTTTAGAAGAATGAGAGACAACACACCAGTTTTATAGGAGTCTTGACAGGGTAGATGTGGGAAGCTTGTTTACCCTTGTGAGGGCGTCTAGGACCGGAGAGCATACACTCAGAATAAGAGGTTCCTTTACTCATTCACAGGATGAGGGCGTCGCTGACTAAGCAGCATTTATTGCTCATCCCTAATTGCCCAGAGGGCATTGCTGTGGGTCTGGAGTCACATGTAGGCCAGACCAGGTAAGGACGGCAGTTTCCTTCCCTAAAGGGCATTAGTGAACCAGATGGGCTTTTCTGACAATCGACAATGGGTTCATAGTCATTGTTAGATTCTTAATTCCAGATATTTATTGAATTCAAATTCCACCATCTAACAGTCCAGCAATAATACCACTAGGCCATCGTTGCCCCCTCTCTTGATTGACTTCCGGAGGATGAAGTTTCTGGCAATATCATGCACTTTGCATGATGCTAAAGAGTTTTTGAAAGAGTTGTGACCAGTCATCCAGAGTGACTTGTTAACTATTTTGAATAGCTGGGGCCCAAGCACTCATCCTGTGGTATTATGTTTGTATCTTCCAGAATTGAAGAGCTGCAAAGTTAGTTTAAACTTGTATAATACCTGGAACTGAGGACACTTAATATACTTCACAATATATCAATAATTTTATTAGGGATAAAGTGTAATATTTCCAAGTTTGCTCATGTTACAAACATAGTGGGAGTGTATGTTGCGGAGGCAGTAAAGAAAGTTTCAGGGTAATTTAGACAAGTTGGGTGAATGGAGAAATGCTTGGCAGTTGCAGAATAATGAAACAAAAACAGAAAATGCTGAAGAAGCTCAGCAAATCTGGCAGCATTTGTGGGAATAAATTAGAGATAACAATTCGGTTTCAATAACCCTTCCTCAGAACTGAGCTTCTCCAGCAATCTTCGTTTTTGTTTTCTGATATCCAGCATTCACAGTTCTTTTGGTTTTTATTTCGATAAATATGAAGTTCTCCACTTTGGTAAAAGAGACAGAAGGGCAGACTATTATTTACATGGTGGTAGATTGGGGGAAGATGTATAAAGGGTGTTCTTGCATGCTGGGCATTCAAAGTAAGCAGACAGGTGCAGAAAACAGTTAGGAAACCAAATGCTATGTATTGCGAGAGGGTTTAAGAATAGGAGTGAAGAAATCTTACTCTAGCTGTACAAAGCCTTGGTGAGACAGCACCTAGAGTTCTATGTGCTAACAACAGGCAGAGGGAGTGCAGTGAAGGTCAAAAATTAGTGACGTTTCAACAAGTACTCCTTATATAAGTATGTCTAGAAGATGAACACCATTTCCTGCTAGCGCAAACAACCTGCTTCGACATTTAAATAGTTACATGAGAGCCACCTGCTGCCTATTACCTAGATTTCTCTTTCATCTAACTGGATCTGCAAACTAGTGATTATGCTAATCATCTATGTGTATGTTTTTGCATCCTGTGAATTTAAAGATAAAAATTATTGCTGTTAAATTAGTAGTGTAACTGAACATCAATGCTTCAACATAGATCTCTCATTATCTGGCCTAATTCAGTTTTACTCTCATTAATGACCCTTCTGCCATTCAGTGTAGTTTGCTGTCAGTGAAGTATCTACTGTGTAAATTAATCAAATTTAACTTTTTCCAAGAGTCTTTTGTGTGATCCTTCATTGTTAACCTTTTTGAGTTCATTTGTGTGAGATAAGCAGGACTACATTATTGCTTGCCCAAAGATATTAAACTATTTAGGCAGGATTTATGTTTTCCTGTAGCTGTGGTAGGAATCCCTAACAACCAAGGGGGTCTTGGAGAAGTCGTTTGCTGTTCAAGTTCCTGACCTGACAGTGGGTTTTACCATAACTTGCTGTTGGAAGCTTTGGCCTTGCCCAATTTGTGTATTTGCTAATTTGGTATATTGTAATTCCCCCTGCCTTTTCTCTCCAGTTTTCAATAAACCTCTTCAGGACATTACCACCATCATCTAATCCTACTGGGGCAGAATTTGATCCAGAGGAAGATGAACCCACACTTGAAGCAGCCTGGCCACATCTCCAGGTATGTGCAGTATTGCAGACACTGGTAGGTCATGGACCTGTGGGGTAGTAAAGCAAAATTGGAGGTGGATTCCTTCAAAAAAGGGGAAGACAGTTGAAAGTTGATAATGCACATGCTACATGTGGAAGTATTCCTATAAAGTAGTGTTTGATTTGGGAATTTCAGCATTAATACTTCTGATGTCAGTTTGTATATTTACATTATTCTATTCAATATTGATTACATCAGGAGGGCTTGCCAGGGTGTCATTGCTCACATGCAACTAAAACTGAGTGATCTGTCCTTTGCCAGCTGACAAGTTTTAATAAACTTGATCAATCCAGATCGTAATCATTGGATTTGGGTATGGTTTTGAATAAGTATTATTCTTTATCCTACCCTGCCTGGCTGGACCATACTTATTCATTCATATTTGCAGAGATGGGAAAGTATTCTGTTCCTGGACAATCCTTAACCACCTTGCAAAAGTCAGAGAAAGCCTTGTCTCAATGTAATCGGCACTTTCTCCGTAGGCTGAAGGCTACTTAGCGCAAAGATAATTTATATATACAAAACTATTCTGTTTTTTTTTTAAAGCATTCATTTGAGAGTCTAATTTCACTCAAGCAACTGAAAAGCTAATTTATATTAACGGCCATCACTCCTCCTTCCAGCTTGTCTACGAGTTTTTCCTGAGGTTTCTGGAGTGTGCCGATTTTCAACCAAATGTAGCGAAAAAGTATGTTGACCAGAAATTCGTCCTGTCGGTGAGTTGACCCAGCATTGTTTGCCATGAAAAAACAAAAGCTTCACTTGTTTGACAAGATGGTGCACTGACTTATTTGTGTTGTAAGATGTGTTTTCTGGTGCCTCTAAATTTAACTATGGACTGGGATGTGCAGGACTTTAGCCACCTTCCTCTTCATGAGGGGAAAGGGTCACTGGGCAAGATAATAGCTGACCATCAAAGTTTTGAGAGTAAGGTGTTTTCATATCCAGGAGCTCAATATATCATGACCCTTTAAAATGTTGAACATTAAAATTTGTTCGAGAAAATTTGTACGTGTTTTGCCTGTATGTAAATATACTATGGCACATTTATGCATGCTCAAACTTAGACAATTGCTGAGCAAGTTTCTGTTTTAGTTTTCCCAATTGGACTATTTCCTATCTGAAGATCAAGTGTTGTAATTTTGTTAATTTACCATCCTTGTAAAGATAGCTTGTAATCACTTCTGACTTTAGTATTAAATGCTGCAGATTAGTTTGTCAAATCTTTTACTTCATTCAAGATTCTCAGCAAGTGGCTAAAACTGATTAATCAAAATACATTATCAGTAGAAATATTAGTGGAGCTAACATTTTGTAAAATGGTTCAAAGTACAAAATAACACTACCTTTGTAAATACAGACTGTTGGTTTCTTCGCAAACACATTCACATGTACACGTATCACTCACTATTAAAGAATACAAGTCAAGCAATCATGACGGATTTTGTGTCTATTTCCTCTCGCAGTTGTTGGAATTGTTTGACAGTGAAGATCCGAGGGAGAGAGATTTCCTCAAGACTATTCTTCATAGGATCTACGGAAAGTTCCTGGGCTTGAGGGCGTACATCCGGAGGCAAATCAATAATATCTTTTACAGGTAATTGTGTCTAACGTTTAGAGGATTACTGAGGATTCAGGCAAGAAGGGGTAAAATCTGTTTTGAGAATGCTTTACATTTTGTAAAGTAGACCAGAGTGGAGTCAATGAGCTCAGTCAGCCCCTTCCTACGTGCTTTTCTTCATCTTGTTACAGATGAGTGTCAATCTGTGTGTCTTGCTGTGCAGTGTATTCTTTTAATTTATTCTTGGGATGTAGCTGGCAAAGCTGCATTCATTGCAAATTCTTACTTGTCCTGGTGAAGGTGTTAGTGAGGTGCCTTCTTGAATATTTGCAGTGCTCGGGGTCCAGGATTTTGACCCAGTGATAGTGTCAGTGACAGTTCCAGGTCAAAATATTGTGTGGCTTGAAAGGAAACATAGTTGTGGTGTTGCCGTGTGTCTGCTGCTCCTTCTAGGTGGCTGAGGTCATGGGTTTTGAAGGTGTTATTGGAGAATCCGAAGTGAGTTGCAACAGTACATTTTGTTGATGGTATGCGCTGCTGCCAATTGTATCATTAGTGAAGGAGCTGATTGTTGAAGGTTGCAAATGGAATGCTTTGTCCTGGATAGTGTTGATGAAGCTTTTTAACAGTTTAATCATCCAGGCAAGCAGGGAGTATTCCATAAGTAAAACTGTGCCTTGTAGGTGGTGGACAGACTTTAAGAAGTTAGGCAAATTACTCACTGCAGAATTTCTTGCTTTGGTGTGCTCTTGGTAGCCGTATGTATATGTCTAGTCCAGTTCAATTTCTGGTCAATAGCAATGCCAAGAATGCTATTAGTGATGTATTCAGCAATGGTTATGTCATTGGATGTCATGGGGCAATTGTTGGATTCTGACTTGTTGAAGCTGGTCGTTGTTTGGCACTTCTGTGGTGTGACTATTCCTTGCCACTTGTCAGCCCAAGCCTGAATATTATCCAGATCTTGCTGCATTTGGACATGGACTGCTTCAATGTCTGAAGAGTGATGTTGAAAGTGTAATATGAGAGTAAACTTGCAGGGAATGTACAAACTGAGTCTAAAAGCTTCTCCAGGTATGTGAAGAGCGAAAAGATTAGCAAAGGCATATTTAGATCCCTTCTAGTCGGAAACATGGCAAGTTATAATGGTGAACAGATGGTGGACCAACTAAGCAGTTCTGGTTGCCCAGTTATAGGATGAATATTAAGCTGGAGAAGCTTCAAAACAGATTTGCCAGGATGTTGCTGGGTATGGAAGGTTTAAGTTGTAAACAAAGCCTGGATAGGCTGTGACTTTTTTCACTGGAGCATAGGAGGTTGAGAGGTGACCTTTAGAGGTTTATAAAATCATGATGGTTATAGTTAGGGTTAGTGGTAGGTGTCTTTTCCCTAGGGTGGGGTTTTCAAAACTAGGGGACATAATTTTAAGGTGAGAGGAGAGAGATTTTAAAAAGGCATGAGGGGCAAATTTTTTTACACAGAAGATGTTCACATGTGGAATGAACATCGTTAGGAAATGGTGGATGCGGGCACAGTTACAACATTTAAAAGACGTTTAGATATGTACATGAATAGGAAAGGTTTGGAGGGATATGGGCCAGGAGCAGGCAGGTGGGATTTGTTTAATTTGGCATTATGTTCGGTATGGACTGGTTGGACCAAAGGGTCTGTTTCTGTGCTATATGACTCTGACTCTAAATACATATTTGCGATCTGCCTTCATAAAGGAGGAAACAAATGTGTCATAAATGTTGAAGAATACAGGGTCTAAGTGAGGGGGAGGAACTGAAGAAAATTGATATAAGTTGGGCAATGATATTGGGGAAATAGATGATATTGCTAGCTGATAAATCCCATAAACCTGATCACCTACATCTGAGAGTAGTTAAGGAAGTGGCCCCAGAGATGGTGGATGCATTGGTGGTCATCTTTCAAGATTTTATACGTTCTGAACAGTTCCCTTGGATTGGTGTGTAGCTAATGTAGCTCCATTGTTTAAGAAAGGAGGTAGAGAGAAAAGAGGAAATTCAGGACCAGTTAACCTGACGTCGGTAGGAGGGAAAAGTGCTAGACTCCATTATATATGATTTAATAGTGGAGCACTTGGAAAACAGTGGCAGACTTGAGCAGAATCGGCATGGATTTATTGAAAGGGAAATCATGCTTGATAAATCTGTTGAAATTTTAAGGATGCAACTAGCAGAGTTAAGGGGACATCCAGTAGATGTGGTTTTCTTGACTTTCAAAAGGCTTTCAATAAGCCTCACATAAGAGGTCGACATGTAAAATTAAAGCATATGGCTTGGCGGTACAACTAGTTGACACAGGAAACTAAGAGCAGGAAGAAATGGTCTTCATTGAATGGCAGCCAGTATCTGGTTAGGTACCACAGGGAACGGTGCTGTGATGCCAGCTACTTACAACTTATGTTAATGATTCACATGAGGGAACACAATGTGGTATTTCCAAGTTTGTAAATGAAACCAAGCTAGCAGAACTGTAAGGAGAATGCAGATATGTTTCAATGAGATTTGGACAAGTTGAATGATATGTCCAAATACATGTCTGATGAAGTATGTGGATAAATGTGAGATTATCCACTTTGGTAGCAAAATCAGGAAGGCAGATTATTATCTGAGTGGACATTAACTGGAAAAAGGGAAGGTTCAACAAAACCTGGATGTCCTTATAAACCAGTTGCTGAAAGTAAACGTGCAGATGGTGAAGGGAGCAAATGGTACGTTGGCTTTCATAGCGAGACGATTCGTGTGCAGGAGTAGGGGTGTTTTGATGCAGTTTTTGTACAGGGCCTTGGTGAGACCATGCCTGGGGTATTATGTGCAGTTTTGGTCTCCTTCTCTGAGAACAGACGTTCTGGCCAAGGAGGGAGTGCAAATAAGGGTCACCAGACGAATTCCTGGGATGGCAGCACTGATGTATGAAGAGATACTGGATCAATCAGGATTATATTCATTTGAGTTTAGAAGAGAGATGAAAGATGAGAGATTAAGCTAGTGACTGCACATTAATTTGCAGGGAATATTTTCTCCTATGACTTCAGGTTCACTGGTTCTGGTTAGATGAGTTTACAATTGTTTAAGGATTCAAGACTGATCTCTCTCTTTTTCCGGACACTATCCCTACTTCCTTTGATCCTTTCCCCCTCCCCTATGGTGCCCTCACGTCCTCTTTCCAGCAACCCCCTCAAACCTGGCAGCCACTCTAATCCCTGCAACCCTATCACTTCATCATTGTTTACTCTTCTTCAGAACTGCCTGTTTCAACTGCTGTCTGTCCTTTTAGCTAAATTTTCCCCAGGCATGGAAGTGTCTCTCCACTCCATCCCTGTGGCTCATCAACCTTGCTCACTCACTACTTTGGATGGCTTAAGCTCCTCATTGCTCATGAAGTAAGTTTTGTTGAATTTCCAATTAAGATGAGGCAGCTGGCATAGGCTCCTCTTCTATATCAGAATTAAGCTGAACTATAAATTCTTGTGTTCTGAAGCTTTCAGGACAAAAGACAGTCAGATTTTCTACAAATTAATATAATAATGTTCAGCAAGGGTTTCCTTGACACCACCTCATTTTATCTAATAAAATTTTAAAATCTGGATGAAATGGAAAATATTTGATTAATTTGGTGGACTCTTAGAGCATGTATGCAGTCATGAAAATGAAATTTGCGGAGCTTTGGGTTGGAACGTGAGAGTAAGATTTGTGAACCCAGCTCATGTAACGTGACTGTCGGCAGTCACGTATGGTCTTCCATCCTGAGATTCTTGACTTTTTTTCCTTTTACTAGGTTTATCTACGAGACTGAGCACCATAATGGGATTGCAGAACTTCTGGAAATTTTGGGCAGGTGAGTGGTATTTTGATCAACCTGATTTGTATAACTAAGTAATTTGGAAAGATGATTAGCTTTAGGCTATTATTGGCTATATCTAAGTTTAATATCAGAAACCAATTTCATAGACAACAGGGCCCGTGGGTCTGGAGAGGACAAGGGCTTGGGACCAGGGCTTACGTGCCTTGGGGGCAGGAGGAGGGTGGAACTGTGGCTCTTGGACTCTTGGGGATAGGTTAGAACTGTGGCCTCCCAAGCTCGAGGGTGAGAGAGGAGGATGGTTTGGCTCATGACCAGGAGAGGGAGGTTGGAACTATGCTCCACTGGCTGATCAGACTTTGGGGCAGTGGAGGAATGCAAAATGTAGTTTGCCCTAAATCATGTTAGAACTGCGCATATTATGCACACTCGGCTGTGCCATATAGTTAGTGGAGAGAATTTGAGGATTTGACAGTGGAGGAGGATAGCTGGCCTCTGGTTAAGTTTCTTTGCAGTTAGTGATGAACTGCAGCATTATGTTCATAATGGGACCCTGTGATACCATAAAAGTCATGGGAAGATGGTTAGCTTCCTCTTTTTGATGGTCATTGTCTGGCACTTGTTTGCAAATGTTTCTTTCTTTTGTGAAGCTAAGACTGGATGTTCCCCAGATCTTGCTACTTATGAGCATTTATTTTCTAAGGAGTTGCGAATGGTACTGAACACTGCAGTCTTCGGCAAACAACCCCACTCCTGACCTTATGTTGAAGGGAGGGTCATTGATGAAGCAGCTGAAGATGGTTGGGCCTAGGACACCACTCTGAAGAGCTCCTGCAGCAATGTTCTATGTCCCAGTGGACTGAGTCATTTTTCATCTATTTAAAACTGATCATCTCGGAGAATGTCTTAAGAAGCTTCACAGAAACAAAAGGAAAATATATTGATTCTGAAGAGATTTCAATAAGAACTGTACATGTGTGATGAATTAGTGTGGAATTGAAAAGCATTTGTTGGGACACCGTGAGTAATCTAATGTTTGAATCTGCTTGGCTGAAGTAGCTTGTGCATATTAGGCTGTGAAATAGTTTGGTTTGAGTTAATTCTTAGTAAGATTCCTCCTGCCCCTAAAAAAAACTTAAATCAACTACACAGCATATCAAGTAAATGGGAAATATTTGTGCAATCCTGCTGGCAGCAGTAGATATCAGAGAAGCAAGATTTCTAATGCATGTGAGAAACTTCTGAAGTGGTATTCTTAACTGATTGTCAGCTTCCTGATTTGTATGATCTGTATAGAAATGGGAAAACTCAATCATGCCATGAATAGGCATTGGGGAGAGTTTTTAAATGGGAAAACACTACAGAACAGGGATCTGGGAGTTCTTGTCCACAGATCAGAAAAAGCTAGCATCCAAGTTCAGAAGGTAATATGGAAAACAAATGGCATGTTGGCCTTTATTTGTGAGGAAATGGAGAAAAGTAGGGAGATTTTGCTAAAGCTGTACAAGGTACTAATCGGATCACAGCTGGACCACTGAACGGTTTTGGGCACCTTATCTAAAGAAAGATACAGTGGCATTGAGGTCTGCTGAGAAAAGGTTTGGTGGGCTGATACCAGGTGGGGAGAGACTTCACTTTTGAGGAGTGGTTGCATAGATTGAGCTTCTACTCATTTGAATGTAGAAGAATGAAAGTTGACTGTGTTGAATCAAACAAGATTCCTACGGGACTTGACAGTGTAGACGCAGAAAGGTTGTTTCTCCTTTTTAGGAGAGTTTAGGACCAAGGGGCATAATCACAAAATAAAGGGCTGCACATTTTAGGGCAGAAATAATGAAGAATTTCTTGAGGGTAGTGAACCTGTAGAATTGTTTACTACGGGGTAGTTGAAGCTGGATTGTTAAATAAATTGAAGACAAATATGTACAGATTTTTAATCAGTAAGGGAATCAACAGTTATGGGGAAAATGCAGGACAGTGGAGTTCAGCATTATTAGATCAGCCACGATCTTATTGAATGGCAGGGCAGCCTTCGTGGGCTGAATGGCCTACTTTTGCTCCTACATCTTATGAATGCAATATATATTATTGGCCTATGTTTGGGAAAATATAGCCAGTGTTAGTGGTAGAGTCTTTGATATCATTAGTCCCTTCCCTGAATTTCTTTAAATAACTCTACAATGTTCTTCTCTCTGCCTCTCATTGTGTCCTGATGCTCCTCTCTCTCTCGTACCGTTCTCCCCATGGCCTGTTGCCCTTTAACAATCCTCCCACGCCCTTCCTGATGTGCCACCCTCTCCCATTCCCAACGGATCTCGAATCTTTGGAATTCACAACCCCAGAGTGTATTGGATGCTGGGACGTTGAGTGAATTTAAGGATAAGATGGACAGATCTTTAAATAGTAATGCATTGAAAGATTATGGAGAACAGGCAGGAATGTTGAGTTGACACCAGGATGATCAGCCATGATTGTATTAAAGGATGAAGCGGGCTCGAGGGACTGAATTGCTTACTCTTACTACTTACGTTC